GCAGGAAAGCCGGCTGGGTGACTTTGGGCCAATCACCAGGAGACGGTGAGTTCTAGTGCCGCCTTAGGCACAAAGCCAAATGTCTGACCTTGGGCCAGCCACTCTTTCAGCCCTAGGAAGGAGGCAATGGCAAACTCCATCAGAAAAATTTTGCCAAGAAAACCGCTGGGATGGAGGAGTGGGCCCTTCTGCCCTCCCCCCCCTCCCCCGTTGATGTGACTCCCCTCCCCTCCTCCTTTGCCAGGACCACTTCACCTCCCCGGATGAATACGACGACCCAGCGGTGCTGTACGATGCCATTAAGTCCAACAAGGAGAAAATGGTGATTTCCCATGAGGGGGACCCCGCTTGGCGCAGCGCCATCCTCACCAACACGCCCGCCCTGCTGGCCCTTCGCCACGTGATGGACGACGCCAGTGATGAGTACAAGATCATCATGCTCAACAAACGATACCTGGGCTTCCGGGTCATCAAGGTAGGGCACACCGAGAGGGGCGGAGACTTGTCAAAGGCGCTTTTCCCCAAACGTGGGGAAGGGGAGAGCGAGGAAGGAGGCCCACTTGGATCGGCCTTCCTGCTCCATCTCTCTCTCTCTCTCTCTCTCCATCCATCCATCTATCCCCTTTCTCTCTGTCATATCATAACTCTATTATCTCTCTGTATCTATCTATCTGTCTGTCTGTCTGTCTGTCTGTCTGTCTGTCTGTCTGTCTGTCTGTCTGTCTGTCTATCTATCTATCTATCTATCTATCTATCACTTCTACAATCTCTGTGTATCTATCTATCTATCTATCTATCTATCTATCTATCTATCTATCTATCACTTCTACAATCTCTGTGTATCTATCTATCTATCTATCTATCTATCTATCTATCTATCTATCTATCTATCTATCTATCTATCTATCTATCACCTCTACAATCTCTGTGTATCTATCATCATCTATCTATCTATCTATCTATCTATCTATCTATCTATCTATCTATCTATCTATCTATCTATCTATCTATCTATCTATCTATCTATCTATCTATCATCTATCTATCTATCTATCATGAATCTATGTATTATCTATCTATCTATCTATCTATCTATCTATCTATCTATCTATCTATCTATCTATCCCCTTTCTCTCTATCATGTCATGTCATATCTCTATCTATCATCTCTCTCTCTCTCTCTCTCTCTCTCTCTCTCTCTCTCTCTCTCTCTCTCTCTCTCTCTCTCTCTCTCTCTCTCTCTCTCTCTCTCTCTCCATCCATCCATCCATCCATCCATCCATCCATCCATCCATCCATCCTTCTGTTCTCTGCCCCAGGTGAACAGGGAATGCGTGCGAGGCTTATGGGCTGGACAGCAGCAGGAGCTGGTCTTCCTCCGGAATCGGAACCCAGAACGCGGCAGCATCCAGAACGCCAAGCAGGCGCTGCGCAACATGATCAATTCCTCCTGCGACCAGCCGATCGGTTACCCCATCTACGTTTCCCCGCTGACCACGTCTTACGCCAGCAGCCACCCTCAGCTGCGCTCGCTCTGGGGCGGCCCCGTCAGTTTGCACAACATCTCCAGCTGGTTCATCCGGAGCTGGGAGAGGTGAGGCTGGGAGTTGGGAAGGTTCAGGACTAGCGACGGTGCTGCTCCTGCAGGAAGGAAAAACATTTGGCCAGCAACAGATCCGGTCCAGGTTTGCTGGCCAAAACTGGTGAGGCGAGATTTGGGGTGCGGGCGGAAACTTTGCAAAATCCCGGGGTCCCATCCGACAGTTTGTGTCCCCATTTCCTTCTCCGGAAGGGCCGGAAACGCTGCTGTCTTTGGCTTTTAGCAGGAGAGGGGGCGAGGGGCTATATAGAATAGAGGTCCCCCAACCTTTTGGGCACCAGGGACCGGTTCCATGGAGAGAGGTTTTTCCACGGACCGGCGTGTGCGTGTTGTTGTGTACTGCCTGCATCCCGCGGATGGGGCTTTGTTTGTTTGTGCGGACCGGTTGCTGGCATCCTGCAGCCCGGTACTAGTCCACGGCCCGGGGCTTGGGGACCCCTGCTGTAGAAGGGCCGTCCTCGCCTGTAGCTCTTTTGGAACGATTTGGCGGAGGGGGGGGAGTGTCTTGTTTGCAAGCCACGTGGCTTTGGGGAGCGCTCACCCCTTTTCTCACCCCTCACCTCACCCTGCAGGTTGCAAAAAGGCTGCGGAGCGGGCTGCAACAGCGGAGGCAACATTGAGGATTCAGACTGTGGTGGGGGCTCCTCTCTCAGCAATAACCCCCCCGGGCACAGCGCACAGGGGCCCGGGAGCACGGCTCACAACGCTGGGCCGGCAGCTGCCAACCCCACCGAGCCGGGGGCCGCGGCTGCCCAATCTCAGGCAGGTAAGAAGACCGCCAGGTTGGGAGGAAGAATTGACTCTGCCTCCTAACACAACACATCCTCTCCACGACCTGTTTTCCTTGTTCCCTTCTGGGAGGGGGTGGGCTCCGTGGTATCCGTAGCAGAACATCCAGATTCGGCCATCGTTTCATTCCATACAGCATTAACCTTGTGAACTCTCAAGCTTCCTCCTTCCGTTATATATTCAAGATGGACAGTATTTAATATTTATTTGCTATGGATATGTAGGGATGTGGGTCTATGCATACGTTGTTCATAGTATGTTTAGGTGTGTGTCATGGATGTGTTTTCACTTTGAGAGCGGGCAACTAAATTTCATTTTTGATGCGGGCCGTTGTGCCCACAGTAAAAAAATGACAATAAAGGTTATCTTATCTCATCTCATCTCATCTCTTATCATCTTATCTTATCTATCTTATTTCATCTCATCTTACCATCATCTCATCTCTTATCATCTTATATCTCATCTCATCTCTTATCATCTTATCTTATCTATCTGATTTCATCTCATCTTACCATCTTATCTCATCTCTTATCATCTTATCTCATCTCATCTCTTATCATCTTGTTATCTATCTTATCTCATCTCATCTCTTATCATCTTATCTATCTTATTTCATCTCATCTTACCATCATCTCATCTCTTATCATCTTATATCTCATCTCATCTCTTATCATCTTATCTCATCTCATCTCTTATCATCTTATCTTATCTATTTTATTTCATCTCATCTTACCATCTTATCTCATCTCTCATTATCTTATCTTATCTTATCTTATTCTCTCCGCAGAATCCGATCCCAGCCTTCCTCCTCCGAGCCAGTGCTGGCTGGTCCAGCCCCAGCTAAGCCAGACCGACGGGCATCCCGCGCCGACCCCCGCTGCATCCTGGCCACCGGGCCCACATTTCCTGGGAAGCCAGCTTTCCTGCGCCAGCTCCTTGGCCTCCGTGGCTGAGGGCACAGGACGTACCCCTCTGCCCCTCCGCCCCAGCCTCGGGACTCTCTCGCCCTTTGTCTACGAGGGCCTCTGTAGCAAGTGGAGCCTGCCAGCCCGCAAAGGACTGAACGGGTTAGGGGGCAGCGAGAGCGAATTCCCACCTGGGACTCCGCCACCCCACACAAAGGACAACTCCTCAATAGCATCTAATGCTGTTGCCACCTTGGGGACACTCAGCATTGGAGGGAGCCCTAAACCTCAGGTATGTAATCCCTCCCACACACACACACACACTTTTTACCCAATTTCTCCTGTCTTGGTTTACATGGACCCCCACATACGAAAGGCCACGTGACTCTCTGTCTGCCACCACCCCCCAAGAGGGCACAACCATAAACTGGCAGAAATGTGGTACGGAATTGGTGTCCTGAAATGTCAGAAAAAGCTGAGCAGAGCTTAATTAGATACACTTTCCCCGTCATTTAATCAGGTGCTGTGGTGGCGCACCGGGTAGAATGCAGTGTATGCAGGCTAATTCTGCCCACTGCCGGCAGTTCGATTCTCACTCGCTCAAGATGGACTCAGCTTTCTGTCCTTTTGAGGTCGGTAAAATGAGGACCCAGGTTGTTGGCAGGCAATAGGCCGACTCTGTAAACCGCTTAGAGAGGGTGGTAAAGCATTGTGATGCGGTATATAAGTCTAAGTGTGATTCTGTTCTATTTTGTTCTGTTCTTACTATTCTAATTCTGTTCTGTTCCAGTCTATTCTTTATTCTATTATATTCTTGTTTCTATTCTATTCATTTCTATTCTATTGATTTCTATTCTAATTTCTATTCTATTCTCTCTTATTTCTATTTCTATTCTATTCATTTCTATTCTAATTTCTATTCTATTCTATTGTCTCTTAATTCTATTTCTATTCTAATTCTATTCTGTTCTGTCCTGTCCTATTCTTATTCTGTTCCACTGTTCTAATTCTGTTGTTGTTCTGTTCTATTCTATTATTTCTTTTATTCTATTCTTTATTCTATTCTATTCTTGTTTCTATTCTATTCATTTCTATTCTATTCTATTCATTTCTAATTTCTATTCTATTCTCTCTTAATTCTATTTCTATTCTATTAATTTCTATTCTATTCTATTCTCTCTTATTTCTAATTCTATTCCATTCAATTCCATTCCATTCGGATTCCCAGAAGTGGTTTCCAAGTAATCAAAGCAGTCAGTTTAGCCATCTCTGCTCACTCCATCCACTTTTGCAGCCATTCCTCCGTTGTGGGGATCAAAGCGTCCTTCCATTTTGGGGCGTAAAGTAATCTTGCTGTCGTCCACGTATATAACACCCTACCTTCTCTCCGCTTCTCCCGCAGGCTCCCATCCCAGGACCAGTCCCCGAGGCTGCCACCAGCACCCCCAGCCCACTGCCTCTGGAACCCCCCTCCGCTGCCCCCCAAGAAGACACTGTGCCCCCCGAGCCTGACCCTCTGGTGGCTGAATGGGTCCTGCAGCGAGAGGACGAGGACAGCCCCGCGGCCGGACAGCCCCTTCTGGATCATCAGTACTGAATTAGAAGTGGGGGGGGACACACACTCTGACGTCACACAGAACTACGGGCTGGTCCCGTTCGACTCTTCCTGGCTTCCCCCTCCCCCCAAGTCACACACACACACACACCCCCAATTTCCACACCAACCAACTCGATCCATCCATCTTTTTTGTCTGCAAGACGAAGGACAAGCAATACAGGCTATTTTCTGCCTTGCCTGCAATTTCTTCCATTTGCACCTCCCTTCTTCTTCCACCATTCATGCCCCCCCCCCCCCCCCCCCCCCCCCCCCCCCCCCCCCCCCCCCCCCCCCCCCCCCCCCCCCCCCCCCCCCCCCCCCCCCCCCCCCCCCCCCCCCCCCCC